ATTATGAAAATGTTTGGTTAAGTTTATGCTATTACTTTAGGAACCTAGAATAATCTTAAGCTGTTTTTTATATTATTGTGGGGGGGAAATGGAATACAGTTAAGCTAATGTTTGGTTAAGTATATGCTATTACTTTAGGAACCTAGAATAATCTTAAGCTGTTTTTTTATATTATTGTGGGGGAAAATGGAATACAGCTAAGCTAATGTTTGGTTAAGTATATGCTATTGCTTTAGGAACCTAGAATAATCTTAAGCTGTTTTTTATATTATTGTGGGGGAAAATGGAATACAGCTAAGCGGTTTAGAGGACAGAAAGATATCGAAAAAACCAAATCTAAAACACGTATAGTTGCTGTATATTAAAGGTTGTATAAACAAAATTATTTGTTTTGAGATCCTTTACCTCATGAACAGTAAGTAGCTTTGTGTCATATGTGGTCGTTAAGAAGTGCAGCGGACTATAACCTAAAAAAAAGTCAAGTCCTACTTACAATGTCCATTTGGAAGTTCTAAAATTCTACCTACTTTGATAGTAAACGAAATGACCGAGTTTAATTATCACACGGAAATATAGCCAAGCCTCACTTCCGGAGGTTAATAAGAAAAGCAAAACAATGGCACTTGTCAAAGGTCATGCTCACTGTCGTGGGAGCCATTTATGATTGGCACAGTAGAGATAACTCCGAATTATTAATGTAATTTTTTTATTAAAATTGATTAGTAAAATTAACTGTTTAAATAGATTAACCAGTCTATATAAACGACTTGTTTCAGTCAAATTTGGTAAAAAAGACTGTTAATTTAACATTACTTGTGTCATTTTCCACTGTGTTATAATGTAGTGACTGAAATGCGATATTTGTTGGCATGTAACACACAGAAGGTGCTTAAGCTCTGAAATATGAGATAGGACAGGTCTAATCTAATATTATCAATCGGACATTAGCTAAACAGCTAGGCCAAAGTGCCTCAGGGTCTTGGTATAGCCGTACCTTATTTTAAATGAGGGAAAGCAGCCAGTTAGCAGTACCCGCCATCACGTGGACTTCATTTGTCTTTGAACCAAATACAGGGATTGACTTTCACTCTTATGACACACCCACAGCTGAAAATGCGGAGAGTGTTCGGAGTTATACCAGTGCAAACCTTTGACCTTTCATCCGCAGGCCGGAATGCTAACTATTAGACAGGACCGGACGTGGTGCAGTGAATAACGTGGCAAACTGTGGGTATTCTTTCAGATACTTCTGACAGTCAATAATGATATTTTGTTTCAGGTGTTGCCTGGCGACAAGGATGTACTAAAAAGTTTAATACAGTTAATAAACAAATTCACTTACTTTGAAAGAAGTGCGTTGGAAACAATGAAGTAGACATTTTCCCACTTAATCGTGATAGATGTAAAACAAAATTCATTCCATAAAATTATCGTAATTAATTTCCGTTATTTTTTCTAACTAATTAAATATGTTTTCCACAAAGAACATATTTGTATAACCACTTCATCAGTAGGATTGCACTGGGCTAAAATGACTGATCTTTGTCTCAAAATCATAAATTGTTGTTACAATAAATACAACATTGTAAAAATCCCAGATTGTTTGTTTGTTAAATTTTGCGAAAAGCTATTCTAGGCCTAACTGCGCCAGCCGTACCTAATTTTGAAGTGATAGACTAGAAAGAAGGTAGTTAGTCAACACCACCCAATGCCAAGTCTTGGAATACACTTTACCAACGAAGATTAGGACTGACAGTCACATAATGAATCCCTCATGATTGAAAGGTCGAGCATGTTTAGTGACTGGACTCGATTTCGCGATCCACAATTTGCTAGTAAAGCGTTGTAATCGCCAGGCCGTCCCGGCTTGTACTAATATGAAGAGTAAAAGTATTTGTATTCAAATGTGTGGAATTACTTAAAAGATTCTAAAGATAAAACACAATAAAGGTAGAAATATGAACAAACAGAAACAGTGGCTGTTATAGAATTGATAATTTTATATAGCTGTAATGACTGAAAACAAGAAATGCCATTGAAGTAACTTATAATGATTCAGAACGTTTTTGTGTCCATGAAAACGATTAATTCTCACTATTTTATGATATAACATATTTCATAATTAACAACTTGCACCACTAACACTCGTGGGCCGGGCGTGACCAAGTGTTTTTCGTGCCAGATGCGAATCGTAAAGTCCATTCGCGCCATGATACTTCGGCTATAGGTGAGTTAAAAAATTGAAAGTAAATTCAATTATTCGGTTAAAAGCCAGGCAAGGTCCTTGTGGCGGTGAGTCTGCTTCACAACTGTCTTTCCTAAAAAACTCGTGGGCCGGGCGTGACCTAGTGGTTTTCATGCTTTACGACTGTCTTTCCTATGGTACGTAATGGAAAATTAGTGACTGCTCTACTTGAATCCTAATGACCTGGCTGCTTAACCCATGTGTCGTATGAACAGCCATTTAAATAGAAAATATCAATAATAATTCATTTCTTGATTTCATGCCGGTAGGTTGAATCTTGCCGAGGTCACGGAACGTGTCACGTGATATGAGGATTAATTTCAAGGCGACGGATTTGTAGACAGAGGAGAAAGAATATTCTATTTTCTTAATTCGAGGACCCACTTTTTTGTTTTCTACTAGTGAAATAGTGAAACACACTGAAAAAGTGATACTACTCTCGAGTATTTAGAGATACTCATACAGCTCTTAGTTGGTGGCTAATACTCATTCCTGTTATATAAAAACAAAGTTAGATTTTTATATTCAGCCATTAGCTAAAACCGGATGTGGTTGAAAAACAACAACAACAACAACAAACAAGCACTAAAACAACATCCAAAGTTTCTTTAACGTTGATGCCAGCATCATTATATTTTGATATTACAATTGACTTTAAACTGGAATATGCCGCTTTTTATCAATACTTATTCATTGACACATTATTCAAACTCGCCATAAGTGCGATGAGTGACTCAAAAAACTTTGAAACACACTTTATTATTGCCTAAGTATTTTTAATGTTTTCTTTAAGGCTTATAAGTATCATAAATACATGGTACTTTTACATACTATATATATATATACATATGCAAATATAGAGGTGGAAACACATTTTATATGAGTGTACCAATGATAATAAATATGAGCGATCCTATACAGTAGAGAGCCTCCTGATAAAACATAATGAACTTGGTTAACGAAAACATTTTAGTTCGTGTTCGTCATCATGAACCTGAGATTTATGGTTTCGATATATATTACTCTTTTGTTATTTACAAGGAATGTCGCCGGATGGACTGTTACATGACATTAGAATGAAAGTATAAAGATTGGTTGCTAAGGTTTGACTTGTACGTACATGACATTAGAATGAAAGTATAATGACTGGTTGCTAAGGTTTGACTTGTACGTACATAACATTAGAATGAAAGTATAAAGATTGGTTGCTAAGGTTTGACTTGTACGTACATGACATTAGAATGAAAGTATAATGAGTGGT